ATTTACCCAATTACGCCATGCCTTCTATAAGCAATCATCGCTTGTTTAGGGTTTAAGGTAAGAAAGTGAGGAAAATTGCACAAATTTTTTAATACCGGTAAAAGAAAATACAAATAAAATATAATCAAACAAAAAACTATTCATTCCCTTTCTTATATTTTATTCTTTTAGTTTTTTAATTTTATTTCATATGTTTTGTTGTTTTAACTTTTTAAAATTAATTAATGACATCATATTTTACTTATCACAATGTTATTTCATTTATTAATTTTATTATTGTAGGTAATTATTGGGATGTTAGAGAAAAATAAATGAAATGATTAAAGATATATATGAAAGTATTTAAGTCAAAAAATTATAACAATATACTAAATAATTAATACTTTCTTAAAGTGTATGTAGAAACTTAAACAATAAAACAGGTGAAATGGAGGAAGTATAAAATAAGTTGTGAAGCTTATTAATGAGTTATTTAGAGTTGTAGCATACTTCAACAAGAGGATATACTTTAAGCAATTTTTGTAGGTTACACAAATTTTTTACAAAAAGTTGATATCAATAAATTGTTTATCACGCTATTAATTAATATAAGAACAATTATAAAGGGAACGGCCATTTAAAATAAGTATTACTTGACTTACTTGGTTTTTTTTTTTAATAGCTATCTTTTTTCAAATTGATTGATGAGACAGTGACGTTCATTTAGAACACTGTTTGAGATTTTTTTTTCTGTTTAATAAACTTTGTTAGTTTTAAACGTTATGATTAATGAATTACGTGTTATATTTATAATTTACACGTGTGTGCCTATCATATATAGGAATCTTACCTATTGTGATCACATTTAATACAATATATGGACTTTGTGTTTGGCCGTTATGAATAGTACCTACCTGAGAGTACAACGAATTGAATGCGTATGGTCCCAAGCTCAACCATTCAATGTTCCCCAATTGTTTGATTACGTTGATTTGTGGCCAATAATTTTTCCAAGCACGAAAATTATCAAACGCCTTCGTTATCAAGGTGCCTAATGAGTGCCAAATTCAAACTTGCATTTACAAGAAAGTGCTGGAAATGCAAGAATCCATGTGTGTGTTCAATATTTACGTGAAAATAGTGCACGGATTCGTAATCTTCATCATTTCTTTGATGAATACACTGGAACGGTGTTCCCCTTCATCCCACTTCATGACAGTACGTATTGATTTGCTTTCTGAGTAGAAAAAATTTGTATCAGTTTCTTTAATTTCAAGGTGTGTTTAATACTCTTTTGCCTTTTTCTTTCTTCATGTCACGGTCATTTTCCACACGAACCTATTGCCTCACAGCCATCACCTTGCTATAATAGTTTTGTACTCTCTTATAGAATATTCTTGTAAATCTCTCCATTCTTTTATTATTATGACGTTCTAAAAAATTGTTGTACTGAGTTTTAAACTTAAAAGTTTTTTTATTTAAAACATTTTACAGAATTCCAATTGGCCTCTACTTATATTCTTACCCACTACTGGAATATTTATTTTCTTTATTTAAATCAACTGTTAAAACGAAATTTATGATAGAACAATTAATGAGCTAATCATATTGCAGAACCAAAGAAAGTGTAAAACAAATCAAGAAGGAATTCAACCAACCCTAAGAAATAAAGATTAAAGTTTTTACCTAAGTTGATGTGAAACCATTCTATAAATTGGACCAGTTTTATATTTTCAGAACATTAAGATAGGTTTAAGATGTTTTCATATTTGTTTCATGGTTTTAAAGAGTTTTCTCATTAAAAAAGTTTTTTTTTCAGCCATATCTTCTTACGATTATTTCCATCAAATCATCTCCAGAGAAAAGTGGGTAGATTTCATTATCATGATTCATGGGAACGATTCATGTCTTACAAAATAAATAATAAATAGTGAAAAAAAAGAAAAAAATATTTTTCAATGCTGTTTTTGTCTTGCAACTAAATATTCTTGAAAATAATTTTTTTTTATGTCATAAAGGAACATCAAACGCACCATGGATTTTCAGAAATATTATTCTAAATAATATCATTTCAAAAAATCCTATTGACATCGTAAAAGTTAAAATAAACACTCACACGACCATTTACTCATAAATTATTTTTTATTTGTTAAAAGCGGATCAAAATAATTAATTAAAGAAAAATTTTCTTAACTTTTTCCCTTTTATCCCTTTTTTTTTTCTGAAGAGCGACACATCTAATAAAATGCTCATCCAAATATCCCTTTTCATCATATTCTCGTTGAATCCAAAAACGTTGGTTCCGCTTAGATACCATTGATGTTGCATCTTCTAGGTTGTCATACTCCAAGATAGAAGAAAAATAGGTGAAGTCGTGAAGAGTCCGCACATTCTCAATTTCGGGACCACTTCTTTTGCCCTTTAAATATGCAATTACTATATATGGCCCAATTCTCTTTCATTTTTGCAACAATTCTTCCCTTTACCAGTTTATTTGGATTATTCAATGGCCCCCCTTTTCTTCCTTGTTGTCTCACAATCATTCCCAATGACCCACATTCAACGATGCATAGGCATAACCATGTTCCACAATTCCTACATAAAGCAAAAGCAGAGCCATCACGTATATTATTTTGTGAAAGTAAATAGTAGAATTATATATGTTAACCAGATTTTTTTTATCTGTATTCTGTTATTTATTTTTCAGATTTATATGACATGACGTTGATGATTTTCTGTAGAAGTTTATTAAAAAACTAAATAAATCAGGATATTGTTAATACTGTTCCACTTATTTTGTAGAATGAATATGTTGGGAGTTTGAACTTTATATTTATCAAAACATACTTAAAGATGTACGTTAATAATATGTAACTTCTGATGAAAACAAATTGGAGTTCATTAACACTCATGATTTCTGATATATTCTCACCAACTTTTTAGAATGAGTTTGATTGGTAACAAACAAGTTAAAATTTTTAGTTAAAAAAAATGAAAATGTATTAGTAAGTCCCAAAATATAGTACTTTTTGGTAATTTTTCCATTTTAATAAAATAAGATTATGCTTTTCTGATTAGATAACCTTGATTTGATCACCATGGAAGTCTACTCATTACTAATGTCTTTGAGAAGTTAACAGGGCAAAAAGAGTTCCATATGGCCTTCCTCCAGTTGCATTAATTCTCCTGCCTGCTTCGACCATATAGCTTTTATGCATCTTTCGCATTCTGTATAATTGCTTCCCCAGGATTTGATTAGACCCATTTTGTTTGGTTTGTTCCCACATACTATCACTGTTCTTGCATCAGTCCTAAAATTCTGAAATTGAGAAATTCAAACTCAGTGGTGGAGTGTCTTGTTAAACCTTTGACCCCTATTACTTGTGCTGTGTCTTATTTTTGCAGCCTACACCAACTGGTGTTGTTTGGCTTGTTTCTTTTGATGTCAGAAAAGTTCCACTATTCTCAATTTGGATAGGGACCTGCTTGGCAATCATGGAAGTTAATACAAACAGACACTGCTTAGTGGGGATTAAAAAAATTCTTTAAAGCTAGTTAATCTGAAAAAAGAACAACTAAGGAATATTCACTTCTAAGTTTTAACCAATTTATATTATTATATGTACATTAAATTAGATTAAAGATTAATTATTTTTCATTTCAAAAAGGGTGATTAATTGGAGCAAGACAATATTTTTTAAGTCCTGCTACTTAGAAAACTTTCTCTGCCTTAGATGGAGAGACTATCTCTTTCTCTTGAAATTTTTATTAAAAAATAAATAATCTTTACACTTTCCAAATATGCTCAATTTAAAAGAACTTTATCCTTTGTTTTGTTGGGTGGACGTGTGTGATGAAATGTCCTATTTTTTTTCCCCTGATAAGATAATATCATGCCTCCACATTGCAGTATTGCGCCGTCAGCTCAATACATTTTCTATTTCGTATCGACAATAGTTTTGACTAATAGGATACTTAAGGCTCAATAATTAGTGAAAGAGAGAAAGTGGGGCTATTACCTTAACCCTTGAAGAGCTTTCTCAAGACGTCTATTTTTCTAAACTCTGGTATATTTTTATTATAGGGTTTTTAAAGAAAATGCAAAAAAAGAGTCAATTTTAAACCTGTTAGTCTTGATCCCAAATAAAATTCCCAAAGTATCATAGGGAAGAAAAAGCTAGGCATGGTTATTTGGTCAAAGGGAGAGTTCAAACTTGGGAGCCAAAGCCAAAAGGTTGTTTTGTTTGGGAAATTGGTATAGTTTTAAGAATTCAAAGGAAGCATGGGCGGCGCATGAGACTCTTTTAAAGGAAAACAAACAAACAACGATCAGAATTTTTTGGCTCCGAATAATGGAAGCTCCTAATGCATGAAAATTAATTTTGCTCCAACCATACTTACAAATCAGAGCATTAAATTAGCAACACAAAACCACAAGTTGGTGACAGCTTCTAAGAGTTAAAAGCAGTGTACACAATGAGGGGAAAGGAAACCCCAGCATGACCAACACCACAAAATTGGGTAAGCTGCCATTGTTTCCAAAGACAAAATTTGAAGACTAGGTCAGACTTCAGAGCCAAAAGGGCCTCAAAGTTGCTTAGCAAAGCTCCCTACACTCAGTGGCACCACACCTATCACCAATCTATGGAATCAAACGTCACATTGCTCCATAAAAAATATCTATTCATAAGATGGCAAATCTAAGGAAGACAAAAATAATTTTTTGAAAGCATTCAGTCACCCAAAATGCTATACTACATTTTTCTTATCTTTTGTTTAAATTATTATGTGATCAATTGTTATAAGCCATGACAAAACTCTTCTTATATGAAGCCTAAATATTCGATACAATATAGATACAAAAATACGAGAAATTACTAAAAGTATAAGATATGACTTAGACACGCCAATGTAAGTTTATATATAAAAATGCATAAATACATAATATTTATAGAGAAAGATTGATCATTTCTCACGAATACACAATTATATTAGTGCATGGTGATCAAAGTTTACAATACAAAAAATAATTTGGTATCTAAGAATTAAAAATTAGAGGATACATCTTAGATGCGTCTCTAAGAACATGATATCGAATATGAGGGTAGCACTAATACCTTGCCATTTTTGGGGTATAATGACTCCATAATTCTCTTCAGACATTCTTTGTCCAACAAAAGAAGGGATAAAAAAACAAAACAAAACAATAACATTATATACACAAGTCCCTTTTTTTTTTTTTTAATTCTTTAACTGCTTTTGCTTTAGTTAGAAGGCCAAAAAACTGGAAGAAGAATGCAGCTACAGGAACAAGAGGATGCTGCTGTAGATCTCACTTAACAGTTCACATCCCCTCTTCACTTTGCTGACTAAGGGCAGCTTTGATCAACTGACCGGGTCGTTTTATGCAGAAGCCTTAAAGCAAAAACACCCTGCCCGTTGCCCCCTTTGTCTTGAGCTAAGGTTGTCACTAAAAAATTGTTATTTAATACTAATAAAGCTCTTCTATGCTCTCTTTTACTGCGCTTTATTCTGTTCAAATTCGATACCTTGTTTGCTTTGGTTGCAGAGAACGAGGAGCCCGCTTTCTCTCTTTCTCTCTCTCTCTCTCTCTTTCTATCTATATGCTTGCTGCATTGTCTTGTTCTACTTCAGAATCTCTTCTCACTTCCACGCATTAAAGTGTTGTCTCTCTCTCTCTTACAAGTTGGTGGCGCTTTCTTTCATATTTGTGGGACTTTGCCTCCATGTTCTTACACTTTCTACTACTAGTGTAGCAAGAACACATAGCAACGGAAGAGGAAACCAAGAAAACATATAAGGCATTTTGCTCTCTAATGTTGAGTTTCTCTAATCAGCCTACCCTTGTTTCTCAGCTCTGAATAGCGTGGAGATAGGAGAAGGGGTTGCCAAACCAATGATATTTTGCTCTTCAATATTCTGAGAAGTTTTGGGTGTGTAAATAATATCAGTGTTTGAGGAGCTGTATGAATTTGAACTGCAAAAATGAGAGATGAGAATTCCAAGAAAAGCAAGGTTTTGCCAATCTTCTTTGATATAAAGATCAGTTATTCTTCTTTTTTTTAAAAAGTTTTTTCCAGGGAACTGAAATTCATCATTTTGACTGTGTTGGCGTTTGTTGACTGTTTTGTCTGTTGCTTGGTGAAGCTCTCATGGTCAAAGAAAATGGTCAGAAGGTTCTTTAGTATCATAAGCAAGACTGAGGATTCCCAGGCAGATGGTGTGGCGTATGGAGGTGGGTTTCTTGGTTTCCTTGAACCTCACTTTTTACCAGTGATTAGTTTGTAAAGGAACAAAAAGGCAAGAATTAAAACTCATAAGAGATTGTGATGATAGCACTATCCAGTGTGAGGCCTTGCATAATTCCTCTGGTTCTAGTAGGGCACCGGAGAAACCAGAGGAAGTAGACAATAACATCATTTGCAATGAAATTTGAAGCCTAGGATCGTTCATCAAGTTCTGTCTAGTTTTGTTATCTAGTGCCAAAAAATTAAGCTAAGCCAAATAATCAATTAGCTATCCTTGAGGCATAAATTGTCTTCATCTGAATTTCTATATTCTCACCAATTTGGCTTCCCACTACAATTTCTTGGCATCCAAACAAAGTGAAAGCATTCTTTAAATTCTGAAATATTAGCTCATCAAATCCAGTTCAGTTTTTTTTTTCTTTAATTTCTTTTCCTGATATAAAGTCAGGTACTATTGGTTTTTTGGTGAACTTGATGCATTGACACTTCTTTCCTTCTTCAGGAGGTGACGTGGAATACAGAAGCAGGAACAGCTTCTCTGAGAGAGAGCCACGCACAATTAAAAAGGGCAAAACAGGTATAGAATTACCCTGTTTCGATTCTTGAAGAACTTGATGTTATTTTAAATTCTGACATTAACCCAAAATCGTTATAATTATAACCCCTCATTGTAATGAACAGAGAAGTTTAGCAGGAGCACAGATCAAGTCAGGCGAGCAAGAATGAATCTCGACCATCCTAGAATTATAGATGTGCAGAATTATAGGTATTCTTCTTCTCTGATTTTACCACTTTACAAAGAAAAAAGATTTGTTAAAATTCTCATTAGTGTCTTTCTTTTCTCTGTGACCAGCATTTTTGTGGCTACATGGAATGTAGCTGGAAGATCCCCACCAAGTGATTTAAATTTAGATGATTGGCTTAGTTTTTCACCACCGGCTGATATATATGTTCTTGGGTATGAATTGTTACTTGTCAACATTGTCTTCTATGAAAAATAGCATTAACTGTTATCAATGACACATTTCTACTTGTCTCTTTCAGCTTTCAAGAAATAGTTCCCTTGAATGCTGGTAATATCTTAGGGGCTGAGGACAATGGCCCTGCCAAAAAATGGTTAGCTCTCATCAGAAAGACTTTGAACAATCTTCCTGGTACTAGTGGAAGCAGTGGATGTTATACACCATCTCCCATACCTCAGCCAGTTGCAGAGATAAATGCAGATTTTGAGGGATCAACTGGGCAGAAGAATTCATCTTTCTTCCATAGGCGATCATTCCAAACAACTTCTAGTGGTGGTTGGGGAATGGACAATGATCCTTCAGTTGTGCAGCCACGGTTAGATCGAAGATATAGTGTTTGTGATCGTGTGATTTTTGGTCACAGGCCTAGTGACTTTGATCCCAGTTTTAGATGGGGTTATAGGCCTAGTGACTATTCCAGGGCAAGTGACTACTCAAGACCAAGTGACTACTCAAGATGGGGTTCATCTGATGATGATAATGCCCTTGGAGATTCACCAAGCACAGTTTTATTTTCACCAATGTCTTATGGTGGCGGTGGACCTGCCTCTAATGAAGATGGATATGGCATGCCAATACATTCAAGGTACTGCCTTGTTGCAAGTAAGCAAATGGTGGGAATATATCTTACCATATGGGTGAGACGTAACCTGAAAGACCATGTTCAAAATATGAAAGTATCTTGTGTTGGAAGAGGATTGATGGGCTATCTTGGAAATAAGGTGAATTTTAAGTCTCTCATGATAGTCCTAATTTTTATTTTTCCATAGCTTAATTCATGGCAAACATGGTGATTACTTGAAATTGGATTAAAGACGAGTTATTTTGCTTGTATTTACAGGGATCCATCTCAATAAGTATGTCTGTACATGAAACAAGCTTTTGCTTTATCTGTAGCCATTTAACCTCAGGAGAGAAAGAGGGTGATGAACTAAGAAGAAATTCTGATGTGATGGAGATTCTTAAAAAGACAAGGTTTCCTCGTGTTCATGGTGTGGACAATGACAAGTCTCCGCAGACAATCCTGGAGCATGAGTAAGAATCTGCCCACATTCATCTAAAATTTAATATTTTAAAAATGTTGTAATTTAAGGCCTCTTGCAATTGCTAATATATTGTCCTCAAGGTTTCTTGTGCAGAATGCACACAATAATTTTTCTATTTCCCTATGTTTTTTTATTTACTTAACAGAAGTCTTGCATTTTCTCATTTTATATTCATTAATGTAGTCGAATTATATGGCTTGGAGATTTGAATTATCGGATTGCTCTCACCTACCGTTCGGCTAAGGCACTTGTTGAGATGCATAATTGGAGAGCACTGTTAGAGAATGATCAAGTATGTATAATTAACTCCGTATTATTTTTTTCTTTCAAATGTACTATTTGTATGACAAGCATAATAATGAACCTTAATCATTATTCCTGGCAGTTGAAAATAGAGCAGAAAAAAGGCCGCGTGTTTGTGGGATGGAATGAAGGAAAAATATATTTTCCTCCAACATACAAGTATTCAACTAATTCAGATAGATATGCTGGAGATGACATGCACCTCAAGGAGAAAAAGAGAACACCTGCTTGGTAAGATTATAATTTATCTCATCACCTAATATAGATCTAGAAGAAACTCATTGTAAGTGCTAAAAAAGGCAATTAATTTTTTTGAAGAAAAAAATTAGATGCCATAAAAAGTAGCATAAGGTATCTTTCATAATTTATGATGTATTTTTGTTGACTTGTACTGCTTATGATGATATAAATATTTTTCTTTTATAGGTGCGATCGTATTCTGTGGTATGGAGAAGGTCTTCTTCAGTCATGTTATGTCCGCGGGGAATCGAAGTTTTCAGACCACAGACCTGTTTATGGCATATTTTGGGCTGAGGTTGAGTCAACTCATGGCAGATGGAAGAAAAGTATGAGTTGTTCAAGTACCAGAATTGAGGTGGAGGAACTTCTGCCATATTCCGGTGGATACACTGAACTAAACTTCTTCTGAAGGAAGAGTGGATATGAGACATGTTCATCCTCATTCAAGTACACTATCTATATCCCTTATACACTTCCACCATAATCATGCTTGTGAGTTGTGAGAGAGTGGTGATTTGGTATTGGTTTTTTCCTTTTAAGCTCATACAAATAGAAAAAACTAAAAAACACGTGCATGGCTATAAGCAAGCATTTGCCATGCCCCAAAGGGGCCCTAATCTTTTTCCTATTTTCTAGTTGGCTAGAACAAAAGTACTAGATTTTGAAGCTGTAAATGATTTATATGGGGTCGAACATAATAGAGTGCATCATGCAAGTGCAATAAAAACATAGAGCCTAAAAGAATATACTAAAATGATCTTGGGAACTAGGCGCATCTTGCTTTACTGGATACACAAACTTATTTCATGAATTGGGCAGGCAATGTTTGAAGCATAGTCTGAAAAGTCTATATCTCAATCTTTTCTGCTTGAAGTCCCTTTGTTCTTTTCTTATTGTCAATACAATTATTCTTTTCCCCTGGATTAGAAATCTTACATGCACCAGTTACTGTTCAGCAATTGGTCCCCCATCACCAAGCTGGAGTTACTTTGAAGAAATTCATTCATGGAGGGAGATAGTGACAACCCATTTCCCACATACCGAAAAAGGTTGGTTTTCTTCTCTTTCATGCTTTTCTTTGTTCTGCTTTTGGCCTGCTTCTTTGTCTAATTTTACCTTTACTTTATCTTTGTCAGTTTATAATCTGTAGTTTTGGGCTACAGTCATGCTTTGCCTAACACATGATCAGTACAGTACATCATCCTCATCATCTTGTTAGCTACTCACACACCAGCTTCAATAATGTGCATAGTTTGATACCCAATTAACAAACAAACAACTTTCCAGTGTCTCAGCCCCGTTTGATCCTTCACAGTCAGTAGGTACTGCATTGTGGTTTTATTGCTATTTGATGTTTATATATGAATCAAAAGCAGTGTATATACTTACTCATGATCTATGCTCTTTTTCCTTGAGCAGGAAGTTGAAGAAGACCATTTTTTTATTCAAGATTTTTTAGTTGTTCTTGGAGAATATTAATGATGGCTGAATGAAGGTGGAAGCTCGTCAGAACAATAGTTTAGGCACTAACTTTATTTATTTATTTATTTTTTTACATTCAATGCAAAGAAAGTGAGTTTTGATGTATAGTGATTGCTACAGTATTTGATGACAAAAAAATATGAACTTAAAAAAAGATTGAAGTTCATGATAGAATTCCCGAGCCTCTATTGCTCATGATTAAAATATTACTGATAAAGTTGGCTTTGACATCAAAATGGAATAGTACACCACTACTGCGGCTCATCTTTTTACTGATGAGGAACAGTATCTAAGTACAAACTAAAGGGTGTTGCGGTTTGGTAGGAATATTGGAGGCTCTAATCCAAGATGCTATTCAATTGCTGTTTACTTTTGACTTGATGGATTTTAGCTACTTTACCTTGTTCCTGTTTTTTTGTGTATCTATTTAGGATCACTAAGAAAAGTTGAACCAAAAAATATCGAATCAGGATGTTGCAGAAAAAGACTAAACGCGAAGTATTTTTGTATAATATTGCTATTTAAAAGGAAATATATGAATTTTGTGGCTGATCTTTGCCCATGTCGATGATTAAGAATTCAGGGTCAGTTTCGTTGCTTTATGAGATCTCAACGGTTCAACGTCGTTGTCCGCGTGGCTGTTAGAGAGCCACTTCATGTCACTCAAATGCAAATATACTTTGTTGGAAAATTTTAGTACTGTTTTAAGTCTCAGTGCCCAGCGCAAAGAAGTTACAGATGAAGTGAGTAGACAAATGCTCCACGAATATTATTTCAATATCAAATTTTATAATAATAATAATAATAGTACAAAATTGTGATGAAATTGCGCAAACATGCTTGCTGTACGATCATCATGGGATGTGGAGAAAGTCAGATGTAGGGTCTGCTGTTGCTGGAACTATTGATCTCATCAAGTTACATGCAACAACTAAGCATGTTTTGTATTTGAGTATAATCTCTAAATCATGATTTGAACAAACGTCGCAAGAGACAACTTTTTGTCTAAATGGTAATCTGAGATGTATCTATAATTTCAACATTGTAAGGAAGCATTTAAAAAGAGAAAGAAGACATGGTTCCTTGGATTTTGGAGATCAGGAAACTGAAATTATCGAATGTTAAATGGGTTTGTCAAATTTTGTTTGTTCCCATAACGCATGCTTCGCTCGTAATGAATAAAAAAAGCTGTTTAAACAGAAATAAATAACCAAAATGAACATTTTGTGAGCATTAAGCTTAATAAAATTTAAAAGCAAGAAAATAAAGATACTACTTACATGTTATTTTCATTTTAGGATTTCAGTTTCATAACTCCAAAAAACTGTTGTTGAAGAAGCAAAACAGCAGCAATATGACAGGGGCTTGTCTCAACTACGGTGTTACTTACATTGTTCCTTGTTTTGTTTGTATGCCAACTGGTCCCTGATTTTGGCCTTGCTTGTGGGGAACCATTACAAAGGATTTCATCTTTATAGATATTTTGCACGCTATATGCACTGGAAAAGCTCATTGGTGTCCTATGACTTTTCCCTTGATGCTCCTATCCTGCAGTGCTTCAACCAATCACAATTTTGTTGGATTTTTTTTCCTTGTGTGACCCAAATATCCAATCCCTTTTTTAATGTTTACTCTCTTTTGATCTATTTTATGATTCCAATAACATGTGTTAGGACCACGCCTGAAATTCTTCCTCTTGGTGCTGTTTAAGGCATAATTAACCAAGCTAGTGTGCTGACACCAGCATTTTCAGTCCTTCATAATGGGTGGGAATCATTCCTCTCTGAATTCTGATCCAACCATTTCTAGAAATGATTGTTTATAACTCATCTCAGAGAATGTTTGCATTATGCCACACAAAATCACAAAGTAAGCAAAGGATTGACAAGTGATCTGTACAAAGTTTCTTCGTGACATTTAACAATCATGAAAAATCATACGAACTCAATCAGTAGGTTGTCAATGCTAACTTTCTATTAAATAAATTCCAAGTTGATTTCAAGTTTTTTTATTGACAAATTAATAGCAAGGATAAAGGATTTGAAACCAGTATATCACTTGAAGATTAAATTAGTCTTGGGAGATTATATCAAGACTAAATTGAAGTTCTAAACAGAAAAACTAATTTCAAATTATAATTGAGCATTGATGTACTAATACTTTAATACTTAAGAAATAAAAATGTGATTGTCTCTACAATGTATCTTCTTGCACCATTCAACGAGAAATTAAAGACAATGTCTCAAGAAGTCTGGGGCAGAATATTGGAATATGTGTATGCTTGCTTCTACCCAAAATTAGATTGATTGAAATCTGAAAGAATTGGGTGTTTGATGCAATCACATATTTTCCCAAAAAACATCAGTCATGGAGCAAAAAAAATGATTTCAAAATTTGTCCAAGTCAAAGTTGAAATAAATGGATTGGAAAGTCAAATAAAGTTGTGTGGAAAACCTAATATGTGTTAGCTAGCATATTTTCCTTTTCACTTTACAGCAATTTGAAGCAATGAAAAAAAGATTGCTGCATTATAATTAGTATATGAACTTGCAGTCAACCATGGTAGGGTTCCATCTTCATTTACATGTGATAATCTTCACTTTGATTAATCGGCAGCACTAAGGTTGTTGCATAATTAAGACTTCATGGATCAGTTGCACTTTGATCCAAAATGTACTCTCCGGCCCTATTTACTGGCTCTCAGTTTCATTGGGCTTTGTCGTAATCTCTCAAGCCCAATTTTGCCATGATGTCTATTCCTCCAATAAATTATCATATATAACTTGTTTATGTACACAAATAGGACATGTTAACCGAAAAAGAAAACACCTTGGAAGATATATTATTTTCCCGATACTAATGAATATTCTTCATTCTTTGGTATTTTATTTTGCCTGGTAATAAAAATATAAATATTATTCTCAAATTGCTGTAAAATATATACAAGAGATCTGCTCGATCAGGTTGGAGGTTCAGTGAGCCATTGTTTTGACATAAGGATTCGTTCTTAATTTGAATTAAAATACCAACTTTAAATCAAGAATAAATGTGTGTTTTTTTTTTTTTTTAACTTTATACTATATGATACAAATTGAGTTTGACAGGTCTAATAAAAAACGAAAAACACGATTTAAAAAGTAACCATGGTGCCCTGTCCAACCACTATAATTTTAGTGAATTAAAATGTAATATTGCGTAGAGTCGTCTCCATTATATTATTATCATGAACTCAAATTGTCTATAATAATAATTTAATTTTTAATGAAAAATTAATCTAACATTAAATTTGTTTATAGATAATAGTTTTTTTCAGCGAAACCTAGCTTGGGGCTAACATTGTCTTCCTAATTCGTGCCCAGCATGGGAATTCAGGGAAGTATGATATTTGTTTCCTTTTTTAAGTGAGAAAAGGGATTAGGGTCCCTAAGGAACCACTGAAATCGTCAAGAAGCGGAGTATATTTTCATTTTCTTTTACTTTCAGATTTGCTAAGATATTTTTGTTATAGATAGTTCATGGTGCAGTTATTGTGGGAGATTTCATTCGAATTCTTCATCCGAAAGACCGGGGGAGATAGCCCACGAAAGTGTCAAAAGATCAAGTAAAACTTGGGCTTTGTTATTGTTATAGGAGACATGATGTCCTATAGCTAGCTAGGGCTCATTATATTATTCATTTAATAGTACAATTGTAAATGAAAAGTCATTAAAATATATGGAACAACATTGATTTATAGATTTAAAGCTTGAGCGCAGTTGGTCGAGGTAGTAAAGTTGGATGTGAAGGAAAATCAGGCTATATCATAGACGAGATCATTTGCATGTAACTGAGCCAAATCCAACCTATGTTACCTAATTGCTGCTTCGAAATTCATAAAATAACTTCGAGCTAGAAATTGAATCTGGGAAATGTGTAATTTTTGTTTTTATATATACAGATCAATTTCAAATTATTATTATTAGTTACTTATGGATGGCAAATAAAATTGTAAGAATAACCTCCCTTAAAAAATTGATCATAAAATTGTTTTGGCTTATGTATGCATGATATAAATGATCAGATTTAAAGTAAACCCCTTATCTGCATCGAATGGTTTGTATTTGGTGGGAATGGGAATGCAGCGAAGGTCGTTTGTGATTGTGAGATGGAGGTGGGTGGGCTATGAAATATTAATATCAAAATTTTCTTCATGGTGTAGTCCATCAAATTAGAAGATTTTTCAGAATATAACACATGATTTTCTTCGTCAGATAAACTCACACAAGGTACAAAATTCACATCCCAAATAATGACGCAATCACTTTCTGTTTTTTGCTGAGAACCTACAGAAACAATAGCTTACGCACTTTTTCTGTAGATAACCAAACATGCAGGAATCGTACACTTCAACAACTACTCCCACCTTATATGTGTTATCTTATAGAAACTCACACTTTCTCTCTCTTTTTCTTCTTTCCCTCTCCTAGATCTCTGATTCTTGCTCTCTGGAGGTCATCATGATGACTGTGCTTTTTCAAAGCAATCATTTTCTCTATATGCCTAGCTTTCTGTCTCTTACTCTCTCAAGGTTATATTATAACTGTACGTGCTTTTTGCATTGTTCTTTCAATCAGTATATTCAATGTCTCTGGCTGTGTATATATGAATCACCGTGCTATTGCCGTGTCTTATTTATAATTTCTTTGGGCATTTTGGTCAGACTCAGCTTCTTCTCTGTTGTATGTAAAACTCTTAACGACTTAAGAGCACAGTATATTCACTGTTTGGTGCATGACACGCAATTCCTAATCATTTGTTCTGATCATGTTTCCCTCCAGGTATGTTATTTGTGTCCTTGCCCATTTGTCAACATGAGCTTCTCTCTTTTTGTTTTATACTCAGTCATTGCCAAAAACTTGCACTATTACATGATTTTTGTATATAGGATATCGTTTCATGTTGTTTATGTAGCTTCATAAATCAACCATTTTTTTTTTGTTATAGTTGGTTCTCTTCATGCACAAGTCACTATCTTCATCATCGGTTAGATAAAGACCATTCTTGCGAATGATTATAAGGTGGAAAACAA